ATGTGTCATGTCATGATTATGAAGGTGTCATGTCAGTCTTATGCACACCCCTTCAAGTAAAGTGTTACCGCGTCTGCCACTATTCACTGCATCTTTCTTAGCGTGGTGAACGGGAGCGCCAAAATAACAGCATACGTCAATCACAATCACTAATACAATTCCTAATAGTTAACGGCGTCGTTCGTGAACAAACTGTTTATTAAAGCTACATTATGAAGTTAGCTATCTTGAGATGGTAGGAAGAGGAGGGCACAGGATCTGGCCAGGACTGAGCCAGATCAAAACTTGAAAACTCTCAAAGATAGGATCATTACACCAACATTAAGGGACATTTCACCCCGAAATTAAAGTTCTGTCATCATTTACTCACCCTCATGTCATTTCAAACCTGTATGACTTTCTTTTTTTCTGTGGAACACAATATAAGAAAGTCAGTGGGTCTAAAACAACAATGGACCCCATTAACTTTGTACGGACAAAATATCTTTGTATTCTGTGGAAGAAAGAACGTCATACAGTTTTGGAAAGACATGAGGGTGAGTAAATTATGAAAATATTCCTTTAGAATGTCTAGAATATTTTCTCTTCAAAGTCTGTAGATTGGATTTTGTGTTAAATATTTGAGAAACCTGCAGTTGATGTTTTTTATTAATAACTATTCCATCTTTTTACTTCCCTTTATACTCATAATTCTATTTTTCCTGCATATAAGGGTGATATATTGACATCAACTCAACAATGAGGGTGATATATTCACACCAGAAGACCCATCCCCTGTCACCCAGTGGCCCACCACACCAAACCTCATCTTTATTCTCAATATGTTCTTTTCCAGTGGCTATCATGGTCTTTAATAAATGACTTTAATTTAAAGAAGAGACCTTGAAGTGTGTGTGTGTGTGTGTGTGTGTGTGTGTGTGTGTGTGTTGTGTGTGTGTGTGTGTGTGTGTGTGTGTGTGCGTGTGTGTAGATCACTTTCTTTATATCCTTTATCTCTCTTTAAGGTGCACTGCTGAGGAATCTATGCACTTCCGTCATCACTCAAATACTCTTATACACACATACATAAAAGAAAACGCATGTTGCTCCACACTAACACTAAAATACTGCTGCTACTGTGTTTGAAAAATGACCTTGTAGGACTTAGAACTATCCACAATAACATACTGATAAATCCAATTCACACATTTAACAGGCTCTAAAAACTATGAAATATGTATAAAATATATAGTATAACTGGTTGAAAATGCACAATGAATTGTTTTATGGGCAGGCCATGATACAGGTCTTGACTAGATTTGGTATCCTGGACTATGGTTGTAGAAACATGATTTATCTTAGCGCAGAAGTGTTATCCTTGATAGCCAATTAAAAATAACCACAAACATAAAATAACACCCCACTGGAAAGAAATACACCAGGGGTGTCCAAACTCGGTCCTGGAGGGCCGGTGTCCTGCAGGGTTTAGCTCCAACTTGCCTCAACACACCTGAATAGAAGTTTCTAGTATGCCTATAAGAGCTTCATTAGCTGGTTCAGGTGTGTTTAATTAGGGTTGGAGCTAAACTCTGCAGGACACTGGCCCTCCAGGACCGAGTTTGGACACCCCTGAAATACACCCTCGTTTTTCAGTTGTTTCTCATAGAAAGCAATGGGATTAAATAGAGCAGTCCTCATCAACTCCAGTCTTGAAGGGCCAGTGTCCTGCTGACTTTAGACCAATACCAATTAAACACACCTGTACATAACTTACAAGTAATATTGAACACCTTGAATAGCTTGTGTTCGGTTACAGTTAAACTCAGCAGGACACTGGCAATCCAGGAGTTGAAGAGCCCTGATATAGAACATATCTCACACGTGCCTCATCTAGAATTTCAAATTGTAGTCAAATTTGTCAAGATAAAATATCAATCAGTCAAATTATTTGATCAATGCAATCCACATTCATTCAAAGATGCTGTATGTCAACAACTGTCTCAGCTGTATCTCAGTTTTAAGGAGAAACATCTGAGCCTGAGATGAAACATAACCAAGGATGCCAACAAGTTGTAACAGAGCAACTAATTATATAAGCAATAAAAATTATTCTGGGGCATGTATTTGTAAGTTACTTTAGTAAGAAAGAATGTAAATGCAAATGCATATGCAAATAAAACACTGCAATATTGTCATTCGATATTAATGTCGTATAACAGGAATTCTAAATTAAACTAGACATTGTTGCACATACTATAGCAGACTCTTTGTCAAACTCTGACATATATCAAATCCACTTTACAAATGCCTGTATAAGTGAATGCAATGCATGGCCTTCAGAGGTGGCAGTATTTTATCTGTGCTGGGGTGACAGGGACTTTTAATTGACAAGGCTGAAGTGTTTCAGCCCCACTAGAGCACAAACAATAACCACAATAAAGACAGAGTGAGCCATAAAGAAAGGCCTTGTTTTCGTTGATCATTCTATTCCCTGGGTATGTAGGCAACACTGTGCAATAATGCAATAACTTAGATCTCACAAATGCACAGACACACACACCTGTGTCTGTATTGTTGAATGACACATGGAAAAATATTCATGCCTCCCTTAATAAAAAGAAAAAAAGAGAGATACACTGAGAATTTTGAAATATCTGCCTAAATATGGATATTTTACCTAGGCGTACATTACCATGCACATCTTATGCAGATTAAGTTTGAACTGAAATTTCTCTCCGAAATACAGATGTGTATTGAGGGCACGGTAGACAAGGTCACAGCTCCTTTCACGTTGTGTGTGTGAGTGGGTTGTGTGCGGGTGTGTGCTGTTCTAGCAGTCTGGGTGTGAAAAGGCCTGACTATACAAAACTGTAGGCACTCCAAGGACGTATAAAGAAAACCTTTTATATAAATTTTGCATTGACATTTCTGTTTGATTTCAGGTTCTCTGATGCACAAAAATGAAAGGAAAGTTTGCTGAGGCAAAATCTGAACAAAGTAGTGTTACAGTGTACAACACATGTAGCTGTAGATTTTTTAAGCATTGCAAGCTACAAGGTTTCTGAAAACTGAAAAGTCATGCAGGTGATGCTAAACTTTTGAGTGAAGTGCAATATACTGTATATAGTCTAAGTGCTAAGGGGTAATAATGGAACAACAGTTTTAAAAAGTGATTTTTGTCACTATTATTTACAATAGAATCAGCACATTTATGGGCTTACATAAAAGATTCTTGTTATAAGAGACAATAAAAACAACTTTGGCTTTAATGACTTTCCAAGAATGAGGAGGGCTTCAACATGCTGTCTGTCAGAGACCATAATGTACCTGATAAGGTATGTGAGAATAAATTTGTTTTTCACTCGCTGAAATTGGTGATTTTTATAAAATGTAGATCACTATCTTCTCAGTTGTTTAAAAGATTAAGGCAATTAAGTTTGATAAAATGTTTAATTTTTCAGTAAAAAGATGATCAATTTTTACATGATTTGTTACATTTAATTACCTCTTAGTAGATTTTGACTCATATATATCAATAACTGAGTCTTTCAAGTAGATAGGCACTCTAAATGTATGTATATTACTGCTAGCTGTCTATGGTTGTAGCCAAGATGGCTGCAGAGTGATCTGACCTGTCTTCTGTGCTTTTTCCCCCAGTTAATCTGGAGATGTTTACCAGTTAAGCGCAAACCCCGCCCTGCGGATGATTTCACTGATCAGTTCAATCATGCAGTCAACTGTCAACAACTTCATGGGTTCATATCAGATTTCAGAAAAATCACACACTTGCTAAAGCTGTGGTTCTCAAAGTGCAATGTCAGAAAAATGTGCAAAAATTGTAAAATAACAGGATAACTCTATTAGAGGTAGTAATATGTACCTTTAAGGTATGTACGCTTATACAATTATGAACCCTTTAGGTGTAAAGAAGGTACAAAGGTGTCCCTTTGAGGGTGCTGCCTAGTGACAAATTGTTTTTGCACATTTTTTTTCTGAGATTGTGTGGGGGTTTTATCTTCTCTGCCACCTTGTCCATGATTTTGAGTTTTCACTTGTAGTGCTACACTATAAAAACATATAAAAAAAACAGATGTCCTTAAAGGGGGATGTCAGGTTGGATTGAGGTCGACAAGATTTTGAGTAAATAACAGCATTCAATAAGGTTAGTTCAGTTTGATTTTCAGATTAAAAGTTATTTACATACTGTTTAAAACTTTTTCAAAAATTAAAAAAGAACCACTCTCATTTACAGTACGTCTGCTTAATAGATTAATATTTCAAATTCTTAAAAACAGTACTAAATGCAGTAGCAATAGTGCAAAGTAAAACAACATTCTTTTTCACTCATACAATGACAAAATGCAAACATAAACACTTGAACTTTTTAATGCACGGGGAAATGAGCACTGTGAATGTTTAACTACACTCTTAAAAACAAAGGTGCTTTCCTGATGACATAGAAGAACCTTTTTGTCAAAATTTCTGTTTCACAAAAGGTTCTTTGTGGCAAAAGAAGGTTCTTCAGATATTAAAAAGGTAAGAAAGAGATGGTTCTTTAAAGAACCTTTGACTGAATGGTTATTTGTGGAACCAAAAATGGTTCTTCTATGGCATCTCTGTAACATTTTAAGCACCTTTATTTTTAAGAGTGTAGTCAGTTCACTCAGTGATACTTACTGTGTTTACCTCATTGATTGTGCTATTCTCAAAGAATTGTAAACGACTTGGTGTTCAAGGTTGGATGAAACATACCACTTTATAATTTATAACCACAACATTTGTTACAAGGCATGAAACAAATGCAGTGAATGTGAACAAAAATTCACATGTTCTATGTTGGGTGAAAATCTCCCACAAAAGCATACAAACAACAAAAGAGACGCCTCTTCCTTCAAGTCACACTTCACAATTTAATAACAACTTCCTTTCCTTCGTGAAGTTTTTCTCTGTTTCCCACTTTTTGTCCCTTAAAAAAGCTTCCCACACTTTTCAAACACACCTCTCTCTTTAAATGTCTGCCAACATTTCTTCTATCAAGTCCAACCCAAACCTAACAAAAACCCACACACTCTCCTTCTAAGGTGCCGGGCTGCTTCTCTTTTTCTGATTCGACCCCATTACTTCATGCTTTTCTTCAGGTTTGATGCCAAACTAACGCTTACGGTGCAGCAATACCACCGTTTTCTGCATCTGACAACAGAGGAGCCGCAAACACGCAGAAACAGCCAAGGGAACAACAGACAGATCCGCATCATTAATATTTTACTAATATGACAGTAGAGCGTGATGTGAAGGCATCACTTTTAATGAGAACAGACAAAAGCATGTGTACAGAACAAAGAGTTGCGAATCACGGAGACAGAGGTTTTAGCTTGAGATACGTGTGCCAATACGTATGTGTGTGTAGGGAGATGATACAGAAATACAAAGAAATGACACAGCCCAAAGCTGACATAGTAGGGTAATTTGTAAGATCACAGACCCTCAGGGGTGAATTCACTAAAACAGCTGTGCCACTTTTGGTCTTGATTCTTTTAGGCAGGATTTTATACCTCGTTTGTTAGGTCCTGATGCGTTTTCTCCCTTATGGTCCATTTAGGATCCCATTAATGATTTGTTAGTACTTCAATGCATATTAATCTTTGGAAAAAAAACAAAAAAACAATGCAATTCCAAGGTAAAATTGTGGTATAATTAAAAAATAAATTAAATAAATGTAAAAAATGCTAAATTCTTTTTAAAGGCAGAATAAACGCAAACCAATACTTAGCTTTGAAGGCACGGAGAGATCAAAACAAAATAACGGTCAAGAATTAGAAGTACAAAACGAGGATTTGTAAAGAAGAATGTTCCCACACTACATTAAAGTAGTGTGCAAGCTACATTAAAGTGATTATTACGTTTTGAATATGGATATTTTTCTTACAAAAACGCATCGATTCGCTACAGAAGGCCTTTGTTCACCCCCCGGAGCCGTGTGAGACACTTCTTTTTATGGATGGGCGATTTTTATTTAAGTTCTTTTGGACTGAAGCAATGCAACACCCACTGAGTGGCATTAAACAGCTTGAAAGATCAAAGACAATTTTTAATATAACTCCGACTGGATTCGTCTGAAAGAAGAAAGTCATATACACCTAGGATGCATTGGGGGTGAGTAAAACGCAGCCTAATTTTCATTTTTGGGTGAACTAACCCTTTAACTTAATATTCAACAAAATAAACAAAATGTGGTAATATTTTACATAAATTTTTTTATTAAATACTACAGACCAAACTCACAATGCATACCTTTAGCTGCATTTTTTCAGATAATCAACAAGTCAGTAACTAAGCTGATTGAATTCTCCCAGTTAATAAGCTGGACAGAGTCACTAAAAAAGAAGGGACTTAAAAGTGTCATTCATTCAGGAATCGGATCACACTGATTGTGATGTATGTGTTTGATTTACTAAAAAGAACCAGCTCATAAGTGTTATTCATTCAGGATTTGGCTCACACTGGTTGTGATGTATGTACTTGATTCAATAAAAATAACTAATTAATAAGAGTCATTCATGCAGGAATTGGATCACACTGCTTGCAAAGTATGTGTTTGATTCAATAAAAAGAACCGACTCATGAGAGTAATTTGTATAGGAATTGGATTTCACTGGTTGCGTTAAATGTGACTGATTCACTAAAAAGAATGGACACATTAAACTGCTTTGTTTGCTAATCGGACTACTTTGGTTGCATCAGGACAGATTTGCATTTATGCTACATATGCAGTATGGTCATATGCATTTTTTTTTACCCCTTTCAAATGTGGAACATGTGGAACACAAAAAGTGGAAAACATTTCAGACACTGTTTACATCTGTATCTGGTGTCATCTCACTTTAAATGGAATGCCCCAAACAGAGGTTAGTATCAAAAAAGTGGGCCTCACACTTCACACACACAGCTCTGCTGCCCCCAAATTACCTTGGTGTTCTTTCTGTAACCAGTCTGTGGGTGTGAGATGTGTAGACTAGGCTAGTACAGAGCACACTTGAGGAGCAACACAAGGCACAAATTAGACTCCATATCGCTCCTAAATATCAGTGTACCCTGTTGAAAAGAAAAAACAGCATATTTTGGTTAGGTATGTTTTGAATCATGACAGCTGGTTTGAGCTGGTCCTTAGTTGGTAATGAGCTGGTTTAAGATGGTCATGTGCTGGTCCTAAGCAACTAGCTCCTGCTCAGGACCAGTTCAGGACCAGCTTATACCATCTCATGACCAACTAAGGACCAGCTTAAACCAGTTCAAACCACCTGGCATGCTTCAAAACATATCTAACCCACATATGCTGTTTTTTCAACAGGGTAGAGCATGGCACAGGCTGGCTTATCCATGACTCCACTGGGGCCATGTGTAGACAGGGCTTGTCTGATTCAGTGGCCTCTCCCCTCCAACACCACCAGCAGCCTAATTAGGCCAACAACATGAGGCTGTCTCTGTGTCCCAGCCCGTAGCTCTCACTCTCTCAGTGAACGCTTATCAGGTGGGATCTGTCCAAACTAAATGACAAAACATGCCGCTTTAGTTAGTTAGAAGAAATATGCTCACCCTGGAAAACTCTTCTTCTCACACACACACACACACACACACACACACACACACGCACCTCATTCAGTGGTGACAGTGGTAAAGCATTAAGGAGTTACACTTGCATTTGTAGAATGTGCCCATCAGTTAATGGGTCACCTGTGATACATCTTCATCTGGGAGCAGTGGGCCGTGTGGAGAAAAAAATCCCCCTAGGACTGGAGATATAGGAGGCCTGTCACACAGCCAGGGTCACAACATACTGCAAAATAAAGAGGAAAATACCCCTAATCCATCAGAACACCTTTTCTAGTTAGACAGAGACAAAATGGGGAGGGAGGGAAGAGAGAAAGACAGAGGTGGGGGAACATAGTGACAGAAAAGGGAAAGGAGAAATAGTCATTTCACTGCTGACCTTTTTACAAATATACCAAATATAATGACAAATCACATACCTCAGGGGACAGTTAAGCAAGTTAAAATTTTTTAGCTTGTTAAATACATAATGTAATCTAATTTTAAACTTCCCTTTTAAGTAAAGAAAAAAAAAAAACAAAAAAAAAAAGAGTAATGTGTGAAGGTTTTATAAATTTGTGTTGATCACACTCACAGCATAACACGTGTCACTTAGTGAGTTTGTTTTTTTTACCCACAAAATGTATTTTAATAAAAATACAACTATTTTATTTTAACTATAATTTAATTTAGGGGGTACATAAGACAAAAAACTGGGAAACACTGATATATTCTTATTTTTAATGTAAAACTTCAAAAATATGTTGAT